TTCACAACTTTTTCAACACATGGGTTTTTCACTTGTGCAACACGAAACACAGAAGAATTTTGATAAGGAATTCCAGTAACCACGTAAGGAACATCACTCCAATTATCCTGAATTTTATGACGTTTCCGGAAGTTACGATTTCTAAGATACACATTGTCGCCAACGGAAATTTCTGCATTTGTGATACGTCTGTCATGGGATTCTTTCCTCGTCTCTGCATTATGTTTGGTTTCTTGTAGTGCACGTTGATACGCAAACTGAATTTTTTCTTTATGTTGTTGAATCCATCGGTCCAAGTCCTGTGATTGACTTCTGTCATCGTTTCCTAAGAGAAAATCTATTGGAAGGTACGGATCACGTCCAAACATTAGATAGTATGGTGTAAATCCAGTAGATGAATGAACGGTAACATTATATGCGAACACCACTTCCCTAATGTAATCTGGCCAACGTTTCTTTTTGTATGGAGATAAAGTACTAAGTAAGTTATGCAGAGTTCTATTAAAACGTTCGCATTGACCATTTCCTTCAGGATGATGAGCGGTGGTTCTTGATTTTTTAATTCCATAAATCCTACACAATTCTTGTATAATTTCTGCCTCGAAACATCTCCCCTGATCTGAATGAATTCGTTTACATATTCCGAACTTGCAAAACAATTCGTTAACCAACACTTTGGCCACAGTTTGAGCAAGTTGATTTCTGGTAGGTACAGCTATAGTCCATTTGGTAAATACATCTGTGATTATCAAAACGTTTTCGAAACCCTGCGCTGGTTCTAAAACCGTGAAATCAATAGCGACAGTTTCCAAAGGTTCAGAAGCGATCAGATGTTCCTGACGAGTATGGACTTTGGGTGTAGGAAGTTTTGCTAGGCAACATCGCTCACACTTTTTGCAATAGTCCTTGATATCATTGTACATGCCTGGCCAATAACATCGTTGTTTTACTAGGTTCACTGTTCTTTCTATACCTTGGTGTCCTGTATGGTCATGTAAATTTTCCATCACAATGTTTTTCATACACATTGGTAACACAATTTGTTTCAATTCACCTAACTTTGGGTCTGACACTTTCCTGTATAAGACTCCATCACACACAAATACACGTTGAATCTGTTTCAGTAATAATCCAGTTATTTTGTCTTGTTGTTTAATAAACTTCACAGGTGGCACAGTTTTGTTGATCAAGTGTTGTTTTAATGTAGATATTGCTTTGTCTTTCAACTGTAATTCTTTGATCTTTACTCTGTCAATTTCCGGAAATGTGGACTGTTCAGAAATAATCGCACTTAAACTATCCTTCTGTCTCAAATCACTTGGAATTGAAGATAATCCGGTAACATTGCACAATATTTCAGAACACTGTAATCTCGATAGTACGTCGGCATTTGTGTTATGTTTTCCCGAGCGGTATTTAATATCAAAGTCAAAATTTGCAAGTTGTGACGCCCAGCGTTGCTCGTAAGCACCAGCGCAGGGTTTCGAAAACGTTTTGATAATCACAGATGTATTTACCAAATGGACTATAGCTGTACCTACCAGAAATCAACTTGCTCAAACCGTGGCCAAAGTGTTGATTAACGAATTGTTTTGCAAGTTCGGAATATGTAAACGAATTCATTCAGATCAAGATTTTCGCAGAAATTATACAAGAATTGTGTAATTTATGGAATTAAAAAATCAAGAACCACCGCTCATCATCCTGAAGGAAATTGCGAACGTTTTAATAGAACTCTGCTAACTTACTTAGTACTTTATCTCCATACAAAAAGAAACGTTGGCCAGATTACATTAGGGAAGTGGTGCTCGCATATAATGTTACCGTTCATTCATCTACTGGATTTACACCATACTATCTAATGTTTGGACGTGATCCAGTTTCTTCCAATAGATTTTCTCTTAAAATCGATGACAGAAGTCAAACACAGGATTGGACATGGATTCAACAACATAAAGAAAAAATTCCGTTTGCGTATCAACGTGCACTACAAGTAATGCAGAGACGAGGAAAGAATCCCATGACAGACGTATCACAAATGCAGAAATTTCTGTTGGCGACAATGTGTATCTTGAAATCGTAACTTCCGGAAACGTTTCAGGATGCTTACGTGGTTACTGGAATTCCTTATCAAAATTCTTCTGTGTTTCACAAGTGATGTTTAATATCGAAATCAAGAAATTTTCTTCGTGATGTATCTATATTTCTGGAATATATTGTTCTATGAAAGTGAACGTTGAGAGTGATATGTATTATATGTTATAATTTTGAATGTTTTTCAGATTTAATGCATTGAATTCTGATTTTTCCAGGCATTATTTATGGTAATAATTGAATGAGCCATGTTGCATTTAGCACGTGTCTGGGAAAGGATTTTTGTATATATTTTTGCACGTAAAAGCTGCGTCGTTTTGCTTTTCAGGTGATGATATATTACCTACATTATTACTTGTGCTGAGGACAGCCCAATTTTTTTGGGCCGGGGAGTGTGTGACCAAGTACTATAGTAATTACATATTTTAATTCATATATTTATTTAGGCTAATACCGTACTCACTTTTGTTAACTTATTTCTTATTTGATTATTGAATTTAGTGAGTATGATTCTTATTTTGTAAAGGCTTTTGTCGAACACTCTTTGTAATCTCATTCCTGACTGGCGTAAAAATCAACTCAATCCACTTGCGCAGTAGGTCTGGTATTTTCCCGCCAGCCAGTTTTTCAAGGTTTTCTCGAAAAGGTATTTGCTATTGAAATGCTTTTCTCTTTTCATAACTTGTTATTTTTTCTCATAATTTATTATTTTCATTCAATTTTGTTATAATTTATGTATATTCTTTTTATAGACACATGCCATTGTCGTTTATTGCTGTTAATAAAGATCTAAAAGTGACCTGGTCTTGTTACTGCATTGAATTCTGATTCTCGATAGTACGTCGGCATTTGTGTTATGTTTTCCCGAGCGGTATTTAATATCAAAGTCAAAATTTGCAAGTTGTGACGCCCAGCGTTGCTCGTAAGCACCCAATTTTGCTGAAGATAAATAACGCAAAGGATTGTTATCCGTATACACAGTAAATTTGTTGCAAATCAAGTAATCCCGGAATTTTTCTGTAACACTCCATTTTAATGCCAGTAATTCAAGTTTACTACTCAGGTTTTTCATTTTACGTTCGTTTGGTTTCAATGTTTTACTTGCGTACGCAATTACTCGTAATTTTCCGTCTTGTTTTTGGGAAAGGACAGCTCCTAATCCATTAATGCTGGCGTCTATTTCCAATATAAACGGTTCACTGAAGTCTGCATAAGCCAATAATGGAGCGGAAGTCAATTTTTCTTTTAGCTGGTTGAATGCTTGTTGACACTCTGAAGTCCATTTTGATTCCAGTTTCTTGTTTGGATGTTTATGAAAATCTCTGTTAAGTTGTAACAAAGGAGATGATATTTGCGCAAAGTTCTTTATAAATCTCCTGTAGTAACCAGAAAATCCTAAGAATGACTTCAGTTGTTTCAGCGTTTGAGGTACTGGCCAGTCTTTCACACATTTGATTTTTTCTTCATCTGTTGATATGCCATCCTGACTGACAATGTGACCTAAGTAACGAACAGATTTTTTGAAAAAACTACACTTTTTCATTTTCAATTTCAATCCGTGTTTCTTCAAAATGGTAAATACTTTATCTAAGCGTTGTATATGCTCATCCATCGTTTTAGAATACACAATAATATCATCCAAGAAAATAAGTAGAATCTGAAAAATCTCTTCTCTGAAACACTGCTGCATCAGCCTTTGAAATGTAGCCGGAGCATTTGATAATCCGAACGGCATTCTGTTATATTCATATAAACCAAAGGGTGTTGTAAATGCTGTTTTAAAGCGATCCGATTCCTTAACTGGTATTTGATTGTAACCACTAGTCAGATCCATGGTTGAAAACAGTGAAGCCCCATGTAGTACATCAAAACACTCTTCTACTCTTGGAAGCGGAAATTGATCTCGTTGACACTTTAAATTTAGTTTCCGGTAGTCGACGCATAGCCGAAGACTTGAATCTTTTTTTCTGACCAATACTATAGGAGACGCATACGGACTAGTACTTTCACGAATCACATCTTTTTCAATTAAATTCCGAATGTGCTGCTTAACTTCCTCGAATTGTCCTGGGGGTATTCTTCTGTACGGTTGGGTTACAGGTATATCATCCTTTGTCCTGATAACATGTTCCACAGTTGTTGTGTATCCAATGTCGTCATCATGTTTAGAAAACACATTTTGATGTCTATTGAATAAGTCGGTGATTTTGTCCTTCATTTCGTCGGTGACGTCAAGTTGATACAGGTCATCTGGTAGCTGAAATCCCTTTGTATCTGATTTTACTTCATGTGTTGCAAAATTCTCCGAAATGAATATTTCCTCAGTAAATCCTGTTGATTTGAACTGAACTTTAGAATTATCATTCACAATATCCGCTTTTGACACTATCCCTATTCTCGTTCTGGGTCGTAGATAAATATTTTCGTCACCTACATTAGCAATGCGTACACTACAATGGCCATTTTTCACAGAAACATAAGTATTTACAATAATCAAATGCCTATGTAAATGACTCTTATTGACAAGCGGTTCCACTAATGCATTGTGAATTTGTGGTCCCGTGCAATGAACAACCGTTACACTGTGTGGGTGAATCACAATAAGCTCAGCACTGTTCACTCGAGCGAATCCATAGGTAAACGATCGCTGATCTCTATCGATAGACGCAAAAATGTTGGACAATTGTTGATCACTGAAGCGACACTCACTGGAGACTCCCGTGTTCGATTTGTTTTCTTGAAAGAGAATTTCTTTGCACATACCAATTATATTCATTCCGATAACACCAGGTACTTCCTGTTTTCGTTGTTTAGTGAAGGGGTCTGTCGGATCTTGAACTATGAGAATTCCACGCTGGGGAAGCACTTTGGTTAAACAAATAACATCACTTTCAAGGTATCCAATGTATGGTATGTTAATTCCATTTGCTGCTTTCAGTTGAATTTTACACGGGGTCAAAGATTTTCCATGTTTTTCCAAATATTTTCTATAGAAACTTTCTGTTATTGTAGACACATTAGATCCGGTATCAACTAAACAAGGGATACTCACATTTTCTATTACAATATTAATCACCGGACATGCTCCAATCATGCGTGAAATTCCAGGAGAGCCCTTTGTATTCCCGTCTACCGTCGGACTCCGGTCGATAGTGGGGCAAAGTTTTCCTGCTGTGTTCCTGTATCTTTTCTTTTTGGGCAATTCCGTGAAATATGACCGAATTCCTGACAATTGAAACATTTTCTGTATCCATCAGTGAATCTATTTTGCGTCATCGTAGGAGGGTTTTTCATAATATCTGTGAGTTGATTAATTTGTTTTTGTTGTTGTTCAATAGCAGACATAAGCTTGTTGAATGAAGGTGAATCTTCACTTTCCGTTTTCTTTTGTTCCGGTTCCGAATGCGACATTTTTACACCTTCCGCACTCAATAATATGGCCTCTTCCCGTAATGCATAGAAATCACACTCTTCTGACTTACGTACTATTTTCTTTATTTCTCTCCTGATGTGCGCATCTCTTAGATTTTCGGAGAAATGTTCACATAACGTGCGTTCCTTATGTCTGAAAACCGATGAATCCTTACGAATAATCCTTTGGAATAAATCAAGTAAGGTGTTGGAGTATTTTCGGATAGATTCGTTTTCTCCTTGTTTACAACCAAAGAAATTTTTCTGTAGTACGGTAATGGATTCCCTGTCACCGAAGGCTTTACGTAGACATTCCAACATTTCATTTGGTGCTGAGCGAATATCCGAGCGAAATTTGATTTCATCCTTAGCTTCACCCTCAAGATGCGAATAAATAAGATCACATTTTTCAGCAACAGACATATGTATAGCATGGAACACAGAAGCCAGCTCGTCGATCCAATCATCAACTGGTACATTATTTCCATTGAACTTTTGAATTTTTCGATCTTTGAAATAAGGATTCACAAAGTGGGGAACATCACGTTTTAAATCACATTCCAGTAATTCCTTTTCAAGCTCATGAACACGTTTTTGTAACTCCCTCTTATTCATTTTGCTTATTTCACAATAAACATTTTTGAAAAGAATTAATTTGATATAAAAAAAAATCAGATCTAAATAACACCTTTTAAACAATTAAACCCCTTTTTCTATAAATAGATGTCAAATGAAATGATAATTTAACTGTCCAAATTTGAGAAAAAAAATTAAAGTTCAAGTCATACACAGTTCATGGGTCAAGTCCGTGGTACACCGCCAGCCATCTTGGATTTCCCTATCGTCCGTCGTAGTTTGTCGTCGCCTTGAAACTGTTTCCCCCGTTGGCCTCCGTAGTTTGTAGTCGTTCAGTCCTCGGGATTTACGTGCTTTGCCATTGCCGTTTTAAGTGACTGCTCGCAGCGCCATATGTAACCGAGCAGTAACAAGACCAGGTCACTTTTAATTCTTTATTAACAGCAATAAACGACAATGGCATGTGTCTATAAAAAGAATATACATAAATTATAACAAAATAGAATGAAAATAATAAATTATGAGAAAAAATAACAAGTTATGAAAAAAGAAAAGCATTTCAATAGCAAATACCTTTACGGACAGCACGGCCTCGAGAAGTGTGACCTTGAAAAACTGGCTGGCGGGACAAGTAATTTCAATCGAACATGAGTATTTATACCCAGACCTACTGCGCAAGTGGATTGAGTTGATTTTAAAAATACGCCAGTCAGGAATGAGATTACAAAGAGTGTTCGACAAAAGCCTTTACAAAATATTAGAATCATACTCACTAAATTCAATAATCAAATAAGAAATAAGTTAACAAAAGTGAGTACGGTATTAGCCTAAATAAATATATTTTTGTTCAATTCCGAAAATTATTTTTAACAGTTTCAGAAAATTCTCTTACATGTTTAATGTATTTTGACAGAATTCTAAAAATCAATAATCCGAAGTTACTAACCGAGTTACGATGGGATTTCATTTCTTTTTAATTTGTGTTACTTCCAAGAAAGAAAAAAAATATCTCCACAAAATAATTTAAAGCTGTCTAAAGCAAATGTAGAATTTTCGCATGACCTTTGTAAATTTTGTTCAATTCCGAAAATTATTCAGTTTCAGAAAATTACATGTTTCAGAATCTAAAAATGGTGTTTTTATGGGGAAAAAAAAGTAAAAATAATTTCTGTCTGCCCCAGAACGAAAATATTGCAAAATGCCCTGGTACTTCTATCTCCCTATTGTACGCGTGCGCAGAAAAGTGTTGAATAAGTTTCCATAATTACCATGGTCTCAGTTATCCACGAATGAATATAAGAAGACCAAACAATTTGATTTAATCTTATTAAAAAAGCTTTTAGAACATATTTCTCACCTTTGCATGCTCCAGTTGAATGTTGTTTACAAGTTTGAGCTAAAAATAAGAGCTGCGTGACCTTGACATAACCGAAACAACAAAACGGTAGATACAACCTTTATTTTCCGGCACTTATATTGTGCAGTCAATTCTTGCAGTTTAATTGTCATATATTCGCTAAATACTCATAATTTCATAAGTCTTTCTCTGTATGCTACATATATCTTAATATTACGATATGATTTTGACTCATTGTGCCGCTTTAAAAAATATATAATTTTCTAAAGAATATAATAGAACATTTTAAATGGGATACAAAAAATATGGCGAGACACATGTTTCCTTATCATGAAAAAAAATGAATTATATCTATTTACAAAAAATACTGTTGTCTAGAAGAAACTTTAGTCGTACTTTGCCATAGGATATAGCACAGGACTATAGTAGAAAAGTAAATTAGTTATTGATCATTGAATGCGGAAAAAACTTGTTTATAAAAATTACCAATAATATAAAAACATCTACAAATCCTATTTTGTACAATATATTCCTCTTATAAATATAAATATAGAATTTTTGATAATATAGACAACAGCTGCATCAATAAAAGTGAAAAACATGATTAGTCATCAATTGAACTGCTTTGGTAAAAAGCTTTGATTATTCAAACAAGTGTTCTGAATTTTTTTTAAATAAAAAATCTTCATGAGCAGAGGAAAAACACTTGTGGTGTTGGCTTAAAATAAGGAAATGAGATTCTCATTTTATATCGAGGATGTTTATTTATTATAATAAATTATAGTCTGTTGTATTTGTATATCGATTCAAATAATCCTTGTGAACACATGTCGTAGGAGTATGAAAAATCAAATCTCAAATAGGAATCGCTCAAAGGGCCTCTGAACTACCATGCCAGCGTTCTAACCACTGAGCTATTGAGACCCGATATGTTTGACTGCCTCTCACGCACCTTTAAACCCAGTGACATCTCAGCTATGTTAAGAAAGGTCAAAGTTCATATTCCTTGTACACCGTTTTGGACGTTTAATTGTGACGTCATTGAAATTTAACAAACCTTAATAATCAATCACCGACATGATCATGCGTAAATAACAACTTGAATTTCGTTCTTTTATCAATTATTTACTCATTACATATAGACCCATCGTCGCAAGCCACGGGTTTTGTGTCCATTCTATTTCCACAAAGTTTGTGGAAATAGAATGGACACAAAACCCGTGGCTTGCGACGATGATATAGACCCTTATCCCAAACACACACGACGGGCCTCTTGCAGGAACACCTCTTTGCTCTTATATAAAGCTCACTAGCCACTATTTTTAATCCCCAATTTATAAAAGGCACAGAAATGTTTGAGGTGAATTTCAATATGATTGATTTTAGGAGGGACAGCTCATTTTTTGAAAGTCATACTCTGGACACAGTGTTCGTCTTTAAATAACCTGTAATCTAAATCTTTGCATGATTTGTAATCCCGTATTTTTTTTTATCATTATTTGATGTTTTATGTAAAAGATAATTAAAAATGTCAAATAAAGTGAAACTGGTCGGTATCTCTCGTACGTGAAGTTGCTGTCAAGCAATGGATCTGACATCGGTAGTTTTACCAACTTTTCCTATAGATATAACATGTAAAATCAGCGTCAATCGGTAAATTGAGTGATTTGAAAGCTTCACATAGTTCAACAAGTTATTTCTCCGTAAGTTCGTCGCAGTGATATATCACGGTGTGATTTTTGAGAAAAACAATTTTAGTGACATTTTAGGTGACTTTGAAATATACTCTTAATTTACTGTAATTACTTTAAACAACTTGGAAAACTTTAATTATGCTAATTACTATGTAACTCCGAATCTGGTAATTAATTATTTAATCAATTTACTCAACATGTCATGAGTTATTCCATCCAAGCCATCTGTCACTCATGCTCAGAATTGTGCTAATTACCATTGTTATATTTTATTATTTATATGTTACACGAATCATTGTTAATCAGTTAACTCCTAGGCTTCGGATTGTTCGGGTGCGATTTTTGGATTTCCAGAATTCACCCTACCGACCTATGTTTATAACAAAGTGCTATTCCATCGTTAGCATTTTTATGTTTTATTGTTGCCGGAAAATTTGTCACCTATTTTCCCCGGTGATAATCTCTTATAACAACATTGTATAATTATCTGTTTCTCATGTCCAAACATCAAAGAGTCATTAAGTATATTCAATTACTCTATACCTGTGAATCTTTCACTCATTTCACTTCATGCCAACACCTGTCAATTATTTACTCATTATGTACATTCTTATAAATAGTCATGTATAATTTCAATCTTTAGTCTGGAATAAACGGAGGCCAGCCACGGCCACGTCCGACTCGTTAGGACTTTGAGTCCGGGGCCACTTCGGCCATATCCGACTCGATCATTTTGATATGTCTGTTTGTTGATTTATATTAACTGTTGCCATCGTTGAGACTCATCTAATAAATACAGAATCGTTCATCATTTGTTTTATTTCTGGAATTGCACTTTGGTGGACCTTCTGGAATACGGCACCCTTATACCTTGTTTTTACCTTACGGCCACACAAAGCCTCTACCTTATACCTCGTACCCTCTACGCCAACATTCCCTCACCCCGTTCGTTTTGCAAACAACGGATGCAGTTCCAGACGAATTCTAAGTACCGTCCAAATCTACACGGTCACAATTGGTGGAGAATCCGGGTAAAACAAAGCCCGGGGCCGCTGCATATACTTTGCAGTGGTCAGATCCCGAACCTCTACAGCAAGCGAGTTCCCCCATTACATCACTCTGCTCAGCGAAGATCGTTCGACCAACGATTCAACGATGGACAACAACACTGAACAGCGAACAACATTCATTGACAACACTTTCGACATCTCTCTGTTGACCACCAGGGTACTCAAACCTACATTCCAGGTAGTGTTTACCGGTGTGTACGTGTAAAAAAACATCAAAGAACATTCTCCGAAAAAAAGTTAACTTTCTTCCAAACACGAGGACGTGTTTTTCCCGGAGCAGTGGGAAATTATCACAGTGAAAAATTCACCGTTTCTAAAGATATAAACTTTATTTTCAATTTCATACTTTTGCCGTATTTGTGAATCTAATTGTTTAATTTAAGAGTGACACTTTAAGACTCTTGATCGGTAATTACAAAGAGACAGAGTGCTATGTCTCAAGAAATGTTAATCTCTTATAACAACATTGTGTAATTATCTGTTTTTCATGTCCAAACATCAAAGAGTCATTAAGTATATTTAATTACTCTATACCTGTGAATCTTTCACTCATTTCACTTCATGCCAACACCTGTCAATTATTTACTCATTATGTACATTCTTATAAATAGTCATGTATAATTTCAATCTTTAGTCTGGAATAAACGGAGGCCAGCCACGGCCACGTCCGACTCGTTAGGACTTTGAGTCCGGGGCCACTTCGGCCATATCCGACTCGATCATTTTGATATGTCTGTTTGTTGATTTATATTAACTGTTGCCATCGTTGAGACTCATCTAATAAATACAGAATCGTTCATCATTTGTTTTATCTCTGGAATTGCACTTTGGTGGACCTTCTGGAATACGGCACCCTTATACCTTGTTTTTACCTTACGGCCACACAACGCCTCTACCTTATACCTCGTACCCTCTACGCCAACATTCCCTCACCCCGTTCGTTTTGCAAACAACGGATGCAGTTCCAGACGAATTCTTAGTACCGTCCAAATCTACACGCTCACAATATTATCACCGAGCAAAATTAACATCTTTAAATAATAATAACTTTTTAATATTTTATACTTAATTTGGACTTTTAATTGTGAAATTCTTTATAAATTTTTACTATGCGCTAATTTTGAATTAATTGTGTTTTATTTATCTCATTCCCTTTGAAGCCGGATTAAGACATTCCAAATGACACTCTGTGACTCTGTCAAAATAAGTGTCGCTCGTTAGGTGTTAATGCCTCAGGATTTGTTAATCCTTTACCAATAACTTTATTTGTACAATTTCTTTATAACCTCTTTCATGTCCATTTTATCAAACAAACACACCTGTCCATCAATTAACTCAACTAGTGTCAAAAGTCAATTATTGTTTACTCTTAATCTTACAAATATCTATGTCCATGATAATCTCTTCAGTTTGGAGGCCCGACACTCTACCGGCCACATCCAACTCGATTAAATCTTGTACGATATTGTTAAATTTCATGTTGATTGTTTACCATCGTCTTTAATAAATTCGGAAACCTGATTTACCAATTCTTGGACTTTATTTTGGAAGACCATAAGGAATACGGCACCTTTACCCTTTACGTTTTATTACGGCCCACAGCGCGCCACTACTTCGTTATACCCGCCAAATTCCTTCTTCCCCGTTTACGCAAAACAACGGATTTAGTCCAGGAATTACTTATACAACTTAAAGCCAAATTTACTGGTTATAATACATGAAGCAACACACGAGATAGTTGCACCCGTGTCAACTAATGCTTGTATGGGAGTACCATAAATTTCAACACTAATTGTGTTTTTCAGAACAAGCATGATCAAATTAACTGATTCTTGTGTTTTGTTTTGGTCAGATAGAATGGGGGCATGAGACCGAGGTTGAGGGGGTTGAGTTGATTTTGCGTTGGTGCAATTGTTATTGAAAGAGTTAATAGGTCCATGCTCTGTAGGAACTGTTAGTGAGGAACATGCATTGTTAGTGACTTTGTAGTGCCCATCCTTACTAAGGATAGGCGCGCACCCCTATTGGAATGAGTTGTTTTGTGATTCGTTAGTTGGGTGTTGTGTCTGTGAAAAGCTGGGTCTTAATCGTGTGCCACGGCATACGTCTTCAAAGTGCGACCATGTGTTGCATTTAGAACAAAAATGATTGTAAGCGGGGCAAGTATATCTTGGATAACAAGACTTACCACACCCAGAACATGATCGTCCTCTCTGGCTCGCATCTGGAGTTTGTTGATGGGGCTGCTGCCACTGTGTCTTTCGAGGCTGCTGCCATTGTGTTGGGGTTGCTGCCATGGTTGCGGTGGGGGCTGCTGCCACGGTTGCGGGGGGGGGGGCTGTTGCCATTGTTGCGGGGGAGGCTGTTGCCATTGTTGCGGGGGAGGCTGCTGCCAATGTTGCGGGGGAGGCTGCTGCCACTGTTGCTGCGGGGGCTGCTGCCACTGTTGCTGAGGTCTTTTGTTTTTGTTCTGTCTTTTGTTTTGATTGTTGTACGGTGCACTATTCTGATTGTGAACCGTGGAGAGTGAGCACAATTCTTGCTTTAGAGACTCTTTCAGTTCTGACGCAAAGGCTTTAAGCGTAAGCTCAACACAGAGCCTGTATCCACGCAATCAAGTTCCGCTTTTGCAATAATTATGGCTTCTCGTAACGCCTGAAAAGTTTTGGGTTGTTTGCCGATTATTCGGCTTTTGATATTGTTCAGTAAACCGTTCACTGTAAACTGAACTTTGTAAAGTTCAGGAAGATCATGTCCTAGAGCGACTTTTTCTGCTCTGGCCAAGTACATGTCCGTGGTTTCATTAAATTCCTGTTTAATTCCCATGAGGTTGAAAGTTGCCTCGTTTGGTGCGAACCTGTCTTTCAAAGATTTTTTTAGAAGTTGCATGTTTGATTTTTCTGCTGACGACAGTGTATGGTACCAGGTGGCGGCCTGGCCTTCAAAATTACAGCTTATGGCTAGTAGCGCTTGGGCATCACTTTCATTGTGGAATTTTTGCCAGTTTTCAAAGTTTGCCAGCCAAATATGGACATTGTCAGAGCCATCGAATTTCTTTAGTTTTACACCGGTTGCCATTCTTTGTTGTTGCTGTTGTTGTTCTTGATTTATCTGTGCAGACGGTTCTGCTGGAATTTGGTGTGGTACTTGGTTGTTCTCGCTTTCGATACTGTCCACTTCACTGTCTTGTTGCTGCTGTTGTGTTGTGACACTGGGTTGCTGTTGTTGTGTGATTTCACTGGGCTGTTGTTCTTGGTTATTCTGTAGATTTTCAGATGGTTCTGCTGGGATTTGGTGTGGTACTTGATTATATTCACTTTCGATATTGTTCAGTTCACTGTCTTGTTGTAGGGTTTCACTGGGTTCTTCTTGATTTTCTAAAATTTCACTTACTTGTTCTGAGTGTTCGAAGTTATTTGTAGGTTGGTTTAGTACGGGTTCGGTTTCACTTGTTTGTTGTGATGGTTCACCAGTGATTTGGTCTATTTGGTCATTGCTGGGTTGATCTTGTTAATCACTAGATAGCACTTCTTGTGAAAGTTGTTCTGTAGGGGAGTGGTTGATCTGGTCTCTGTTTCTTAGGTTATAATTGATTGGTTTCGTCTTCATTGGGATGAACCTTTTTCTTCCACCATTTGTAACGGGGGATTTTTGTTCGACTTCTGAGTTGAAAGATTCTGAAAATATATGACCAAGATGAAATATTTTTCTACGATGTTTTATTCTTGAGGTTCCAGCATAAAGTGACAATTATATAATGTATGATAAAAGATGACATATAAAGACAATAAGATAATAAACAACGAGTCTTTGCAACCTATGCAGCATATATATAATGACCACATTACATAATATAAAGAGTCGTTGCACAATTAAGATTGGTGTAACTTACATATATAAACCACATTTTAATTAACTTTGACCTTACATGTGCAAGTCATATCATATATAATATAAACATAATACACATTAATAAAATAAACAATCAAAAGTGGGGAAAATTAACCAAAATGGTAGAGATCACTTTGCCATGAAAAGGTACACAATTTTATGAAGACTATTTAAAATGTTTTGATAGGAATTTGCTTGGTCATAATAAATTTCAATAAGATTTGATAATTTGAAATGATTAACAAAATCTTAAATTTAAGAAAAGAATAAGATGATGCTTGCACATAGATTACATGTACTTAAGCTTATAGACTATATACAAAAACACTTGGTGCACATGCACTATACCATAACAAAACTCAGATGTTCGAAATAAAATGATAATCATGAAAATGCATTTAAAATACATGATGCTATAGAAATGTTATATGCTTACAACATAATCCTTAAATGATCGTATGAGAATTGATAGGAATATTTATCGTTTAACAACAAAACATCTTTTCGCAGGTTCGACTTCATGTTGGGCGGAAGTGTAAACAGAGAGTAAATTTAGAAACAATCACGTGACCCGAAAGTTTCCGGAAACACAGTTAACAATATTACAGAATTTTCTCAATTTATAAAAAAAGCATTATTACAGAACCAAGGTAGGGTTTTGGTAAAATATACATTATTCAAGCCAAAATATGATAATTTTGATAATTAAGAAAAGTCGTAACACATTTCTATGTAATTTCAGGTAAAATACAAGAAAAATACCTAACAGTTATTTGTTCTATAGTATAAACAATGAAATGCATAAAAATAATAAACCACATCTGACCATAACAGTTTGAAATCATTAATTACATTTATAACACAATAATTAAAGTATATAAAAATAAGTGTCCTACCTGAAAATATATGACCAAGATGAAATATTTTTCTACGATGATTTATTCTTGAGGTTCCAGCATAAAGTGACGCGCTGGGTACCCAACGTAGAAATTAACTTGGTCAAGGTGAGGAACACAAAGGGAATTAATTAAGAAAACATTGAGTAAACCACTACATTTCCCTGTGGCGGGCCTCATTAAAAAAGATATGTACAAAGCCGAGAGGACAAAGACAGGTAATCCGATGGGTTGACACTATAACCAGTAGATTTGGCTATAAGTTGTATAAGTAATTCCTGGACTAAATCCGTTGTTTTGCGTAAACGGGGAAGAAGGAATTTGGCGGGTATAACGAAGTAGTGGCGCGCTGTGGGCCGTAATAAAACGTAAAGGGTAAAGGTGCCGTATTCCTTATGGTCTTCCAAAATAAAGTCCAAGAATTGGTAAATCAGGTTTCCGAATTTATTAAAGACGATGGTAAACAATCAACATGAAATTTAACAATATCGTACAAGACTTAATCGAGTTGGATGTGGCCGGTAGAGTGTCGGGCCTCCAAACTGAAGAGATTATCATGGACATAGATATTTGTAAGATTAAGAGTAAACAATAATTGACTTTTGACACTAGTTGAGTTAATTGATGGACAGGTGTGTTTGTTTGATAAAATGGACATGAAAGAGGTTATAAAGAAATTGTACAAATAAAGTTATTGGTAAAGGATCAACAAATCCTGAGGCATTAACACCTAACGAGCGACACTTATTTTGACAGAGTCACAGAGTGTCATTTGGAATGTCTTAATCCGGCTTCAAAGGGAATGAGATAAATAAAACACAATTAATTCAAAATTAGCGCATAGTAAAAATTTATAAAGAATTTCACAATTAAAAGTCCAAAGTAAGTATAAAATATTAAAAAGTTATTATTATTTAAAGATGTTAATTTTGCTCGGTGATAATGTCCTTCGGCCTCCGGGAAAACACGTCCTCGTGTTTTAGAAAGTAACACCCTTAATAAAATGGTTGGTACTGTTGGCCTTGGTACTGTCCGTGGAAGTTGTTGTACACGGGATGAGGGTTGCCGTTGGGTCCGATGTTGCCATGCCTACCAGATATTATCTTCCTTTCTTATAAATACAAAGCAGTAGAGCTATAATCACAACAGAGGCTTAGACTAGTATTTTATGTTCAAGCTGAAAATTTAAAAAAAAAAGGAATAAAAGAATATCCGACATTTTTTTTGAAAAAATTAAAAGAACAAAATCTTGTGCAAATAATTTTCACGATCATATTTGCAATATTTTTACTAAATAAAAAAACAGTATGGTGGATTATTTCAGCGGGATGCTAATTTAGGCGTTGTGATGGTAGTCCTCTAACATTTTAAAAGCTAAAAATAGCAAGTAATTACTCTTTTTAGTCAGCAATGAGATGGAACTCACTAAAATGAATAACGCCAAAATTATTGGCATATAATTGAGCGGGCAAAACGCCAAATCTTACACCCGCCAAGTAAACCCGCTATATGGTAATCTATATGAAAGTTGTATAAATACAAGATATTAATGCATTTATGTATGTGTGTATAACAAAGCCACTCTGATGGAACTCAATCAAGGTTGAATGCAATTTGTATTTTAGTGAATGATAAAACAAAATCAGACTTAATTTAATTCTCCCAATCAATTACACATATCGATTATTTGGCAAAGAGGTAAGTAAAAGAAAAAAGATGAAAAGAACGAATGAAAAGAAAAGAAAGGAAAGAAAGAAAAATATAAGTGAAGAAACAAACAAACAACAAAAGAAATCCAATATGAATAATCTTAATTGGTCTTCACTATAAATTGCTGGACGAACTTCTCTTATGAATACATCATCCACAAACAAGGTTGATCTATGTCTATATACATCTACTTCGTTTGAAGTACGCCCTCCGTAATTAATTAAAGCCTCAATGTCGCTATCACTTAACTCGGACGAGACGGACTCTCCGTGGCGTCTCCGAGCATGACCCACATCTAATGGGATCAATCCATAGTCATCCTCTTCATTCGTTCGTAATGTTACTGATGAAGCATCATTTATGGATTCAATTGAGCTGGAATCTTCTTCCCAGAACGATAATTGGCTGAATTGTTTTGAGTTATTTTTAGGTTCTTTCGTTTGATATATAGGTGATTGTGATGGATCTGTATCTGAATCTGTATCTGAATCTGTATCTAGATCTGTATTTGAATATGCCGTATTGATTGTATCGGTACCTTCAAGAGGCATATACGAAGCTGTAAATTCTTTTGTGATTGTTTCAGTTTCAAATTTTTGGAGTTGTGATATTTCAGTTAAACTGACAGTTTCAGATCTCGAGTTTAACAATTTAACGGGAAGGGATGTATCAGCATCAATAATCGATTCAGCATGTATGATTTCCCTGCAGTCTTGAGATGGTTTACTAGTAGTTCCTTCTGGATCCTGATTCAAATCATTTTCCTCTTTGAGGCTGAGCACCTTGATTTTCGATACTTTTTGCTGGGATATATCTGTCTTTTGGTTATTAGATAATTTTCCAATTTATTTAATTCTGAGTCATCAGTCGACGGTTGTCCTTTAAAACGATTTTCGGAGAAGCAATCATGTGAATGGGGGTCACAAGAAATTTTTAATGTATCATCAAGATGATCTGGGTTTTTTTTACGCCTAAGATGCCCCTTTTCTACGACTATATCTTCATCATCTGAACCATTTTGGTAAAAAAAAAATATAAATATATAAGATTTGCATAATTTTGATCCAAATACATCTCAAAGATTATGTTAAAAATGTTAAAAATCACAATAAAATTATGATTAGTATTATTGCAGAATTGTGTTCTTAGCATGAATTATAAGATTGGAAAGAAAAAAATTAAAACACATAAGACACTAATATTGAATTCAAATCAATTTTGATAAATAAAAGACATATTGCCCTTTGTTGTTGGAAAATCCTTTCGAATTCAAATATTACACAAAGGTTAAAGGATTTCTTTAAAATTCATACCTTTGATTTGGTTCTCCAATCTTTTAAGAGCAACAGAATCCATTTTTGTTGTACCTGAAAAAATATTTAAAAAACAAAAACCTACATTTTTTCCTTCCAAATATAAAGTCACAAATTCATTTTTTTTTTCAAAATACATGTTTCATCTTTCTCTTGGCTTAATTTTGTAGTCCAGAATATTAGACTAGATTTGGTCAAAAAGTTGCTTTGAATTAACGAAATAAAAGAATTATTTTTTTTATGGCGTGGGGCTTGCCCGATCGTCATCTAGTGATCAGTCAGGTTTACGCAACCACACGTGTCAATATAAAATAGCAACAGCTGTAAACCAATTTCTTTAAAACGTTCACAATGAATAATAGCTTGAATATAAAATTAAATCAATTGTATCTTCAATCAATACTACTACAAAACAATTATATTATGTATAATTTTTACGCAAAGAAAACGTTATGGTTGTTGCGGATGAATTTCTACTGAGGGGGTGCGTCGAATGACATGAATCACATTTTGGGACCGATTACTGTAAAACAAACATTTAAATACGGTAAAATAATTACACAATAAACACGAATACAACAAGACTTTAAAGATTGAATTTCTTAATCTTAGCTTTACGTTTACGATCTTCAATCCAATTTTAGTCGAACAACCTACTTTATTGACAAGTAATGCCAGTATTACTTTATTTATCCATTTCCTCCATTTGCTTACCGCGCTTATCGTAAGTTGATCGTACTTGTTACATTAGGGCCATGGTTGTAGTTAAGATGCAATCACTATACAACAGAACGACGCTCTGACAATGGCAATTAATTAAAAAAAAATTATGAAACCCTTCATATGTCTTCGATTGACTGAAAAGAAATTAGATTGATATAGGCCTAGAGGATGGACATTTCTGACGATGTCTGGTCAATTTGAACCCTGACTCATTCGGACCAGGACACAAGGCTATCAGGCCCTATACTGTATTTGTGTTTAGACTATTTAAAAAAAAAATATTATTGAGTTGGCTCGCGTAGCGAGCTAATCCCTGTCGACATAGCCGTTTCAGAGGGTTAACAGTTTCAGAGCTGTAAAATTTTTCACGCATTCATCAAGGTGATCCATACGCCAAAGATAATAGTTCTAGCAAAAATGGTTTGGTTCGAGTGATTGTTTAGACTTATGAGGTAAAAACTGTATAAAATTCCATACTGTAACATTATTTATACCTTCATGCTTTTAAAGAGATTTTTGATTAATTTCCTGTAATATGTATAATTACTGCGTATGAATATGTTCAAAAATGTTAGGTGGATCTAATCGTCCCGTCTGAAGTTTATTTATAATTGACCTAGAATACTCCCCAACACAAACACCTGCTGCTCCCTCATTAGCTGCAGCTAGTTGTTGTTGAAAATCTATTTTTAGAATCCAGATTTGCTGTGGGAATCTATAACCTAATTATTCCATAACACTGACCACTTCAGCTAGAATCCAGTCAAAATAATACGGAAGCCCATTAGTGCCAACCTGTATTTATAAAGGAAAACACTTTATCTATGAACCAAACATGGATCATACATATAATATTTAATCTCTTATTAAGATGCAAAATAAACTGAATATATGAAGGTATTGTGTCCAGGTGTATGAAAAAGCTCAAATTGACTCGAGCGAGTCAACTCGCAGGCCCTTCAGGCCTTTGATTATGTTACCGGAGTCACTCACTTGACCTATTTGCAGATCTTTTGAAATTGTTTTTCTTGTTCGACGCCATTGAAGCCTTTCAGGCTTTTGATTTTGGAAACTAGCCTCTATCCTTTTTATCACTTTTGCTTCGACTTCTTTAGGAAATGAGTTTGCTTTTCATTCTTATACAATTTTTACTATAGAAAAATAGGATATTTCTTATCTGTGAAATATTGGAGAGAGAGGAAGAGAAGAGAGATATATGTATAAATACCGGGTACACATGTATAGAGATTACCTGTTCTGAAGTCACATCCTCTAGTAATAATAGAAGTTTTTTTCTGATTTACAACTATTTTATAGGGCATGTTCAGTTACAAAGAAAATAAAATGAAAGTATATGATAAAACAGGAAGTATAATTTTCAGAAAATATCCATCTTTTCGAGTACAATAAACTGTTTTGTTTGTATTTACATTGTAAGATAGTATAAAACACCATTCATTAGTGTTTTTACTAATTTCTTATAAGCATGCATTGACTATTTTTGTATCGACAAAACGTCTAAAACTGCTGGTTCAGTGTTATTCATTTTGACACACTTTAGTGTTTTTACTTTTATATGGACTGAGTGGTCGAGGCCAATTTGAGACTTTGAAGTTCTTTTAAAAGAACTCCAGATGAATAGAAACACAAAAATATGGAATTTTGAAACTAAATTGTTAAAATATTCTCCTTGCCAGATGATAAATGAGAGTTTAAGATATCATATCTAAAAGATAAGCTATATATGATGATAAATTAAATTTGTTACCCAAATAGTTGTACATGTACATGTATATTTAATAATAATACGTTATCTCAACTTCTAGTGCCATAGGGCAAATGTAAACCCCCTTCTCATCCCACGAAATCGCATTTGTTTATAAGCAGCGCGCAGTTTTGTAAAAATGACCATGTTAGGGTAGTGAAATACAATGTAGTATAGGGGATGGACGATTTACAGTTGTCACCAGTGGGGCTAATACATGCATTTATCATTTCTTATCAGGTAATATATGCACTTTATATTCATTCGAGAATGAAGTTCAATGCTTATTAGGTCACCTGAGTAAACTCAGGTGACCTATTGCTATCCGTTTTCGTCCGTTGTCGTGCGTCGTCCGTTAACATTTGAACATTTTCAGCTTCTTCTCTGCAACCACTGAACCAATTTCAACCAAATTTGGCACAAAGCATCTATGGGTGAAGGGGAACAAAAATTGTGAGTTTCATGCTCCCTGCCCCCCTCAGGCCTGAGGGGTGGGGCCAAAACCACTAAAATTAATGCAATCTTTAAAAATCTCCTTCTTTACTCCTGGGCATCAAGCAGTCAAACTGTTTGCATGATTGTAATCAGCAATGAGTCTTGTACCAAAATTGTGAAATTCATGGCCCCAGGGTCAGGGGTTCTAGTGCTAGGGCGGGGCTAAATAAGTAGGTAGTGAAAATGCATTATTTCTTTGAAAATCTTCTTCTCAGCTCCTGGGTATTAAAATAAACGAACTAAGTACATAATTATGATGAGCAAGAGTGCCTCTATCAAAATTGTGAATTTTATGGCCCCAGGGTCAGGGGTTCTGGTGTTAGGGCGGGGCTCTATTGATTATATAGTGAAATGCATGAATTCTTTGAACATCTTATCCTTTGCTCCTGGTTAATATACTAATGACCTAATTACATATTTAAGGCCAGGATTTATTTTATTTTCAGTTTTACGAACCCTCCACTCAAGGTTTAGAATTTTCAGAAAAAAATAAAACAATTTTTTCCTTTCCATGTCAAATTTGAGTCGGGATCGAGATTTCAAGTTTACAAACTCGCACTTCCGGTTTTAAGATGAAACGGCGGGTAAATAAAGGTAATCTGAGAAGAAACTAGGTTTAGTGTAAAATTCATCGATACAAGTGCCATTCAAAACGTTTCACCCGTTCAAAGGACAAATAAATTGCTGACGACTTTGTTGCACAATGACATGTTGGTGAGATAATTATGTGTTCGTTTCAAAAATATCTGTAAATTATTTTCCTCCCAAAGGTTTAAACTGGCCGTGGTATCTTTTGTATATTGCCAGCGACATTGTTTAGGTCTCTGTTATAGCTTACAGTCTAAGCATCATTCTTCAGAAAAGGGTTGCTTATGCATCAGATGTAATGAATAAAACTATGGGAGAAGTAAAGTCCATTTGAGGAAGAATTCACAAGACATCACAAAATTTATATAACTGGCCCAAACTGGCAGATGATGAAATAAGCAATTGAATGTTCTACTTTCCTATTTGCAAGCATTATTTTTTAGCATTATGTGTCCAGTGGTAAGGAGCCTATTAGAATAGCATAAAAAAGAATGTAAAAATGTTAATAATTGATTTATCAAAAAAAAAATAATTTCCTTCTGCTTCAGGACTTTTTTATTCTCATGTTCATAACTAAACCTAAACAATAAAGATGCTGGCCTTATAATGAAGAAAGGGGCCTCTTTCAAAATAGATAATTTCAGGGCCGCTTGGTCAGGGGTACCAGGGGGGGGGGGGGGGGGGGTACTTTGACTAAAAATAGATTAATGCTTTGAAATCTGCCCTTTGATAAGTTATGGTGCCTCTTCAATATTTGTGAATTTCATGGTTTTTGGATTAAAACACGAACCAAATACAATCACTGGAAAGTTGTTACATGATACTAAGGTGACCTATAAGGCCCGTGGGCCTCTTGTATTTGTGTATTCCTAGTAAAATTATGATTCCGTCGATAACAATCATATCTCTCAATTTATAATAACTCTCTCGTACTTTCAAAATTACGTGGATAGATGTTGTTAGTTTCATTTTTTAAAAAATCAGTTGGGTATTTTATTTTTTTTCCTTTTTCTGCAGCACATTCCAAAATCAAAACAATTAAAATGTAGTTTTGCATATAAACTCTGATGTTTCCGTGATTATAAAAATTAAGAGAATAAAAAAGATATTCAAAGTCTTGATATCTGAAATATTTGGTATAATTTAAGATTAGGTATCTGCCATTTTCGGTTTGCGATTTGTCTAGGCTTGGTGACATTCCTTATGAAGCGATAAACACGGCACTGAAAGTCACTATCATTCTTATTTGTTTATAAATGTTTACTTTCGTCTTCCGATTTAATACAAATTCTATAAAACATAACCAAAGAATTGAAAGAACTGACAATAAATTCCCTTTAAATAAGTTATTTCCTGACGTCACGGAGTCAGGCTGTATAAGGATTGATATTTGCAAGATCGGAAACTAATAGATCATACCTGGAGAGCTAGATTTTGTGCAAGCTGATTTACATTGGAATTCTTTACCTGCATTCTAAAAAGAAACAATTTTCAGAAAGAAGAATGATATCACTGATGCAAAATACTTGATTGTTTACTTCCTTTATTAATCTTTTTGCTTGGAACAATTATTTCATGTGATTCACCGTTTCAACATATCCGTGTATCCCTCTTTCTGTATTTACAAAGAGAGCTCCATAAACAAAGCAAGTAGAGCGAAATTATAGACATAGCTCGAAAACTTCTGTGAAAAAAGAATATGGAAACTCAAACTAAGATTATACAAAAGCTCTTTTGCGAAACAAAGTTTTAAACTGTTCCTTGGTATCGGCAACTATTGATAATTTTGGTAAGTAAAAAGTTAAATGATCCGGCGTTTTGCTCTAAATATTTCAGTCAAATATCAAACCTTTTTTTTTCAATTTACAGGTAATGGTATCTTCGTTAACAAAAGTCGATATTATCTTATTTTAAAAAAAGGACTTTCACAATTAGCACTTATTTTTACTGTTGACACATACTTAAACATTTAAACCTGCCTTATGTATGGAGGTACGGAATTGATAATAGATAACATGAACATTAATAGTGTTTATAGAAATGGTCTTAGGGGTATTCTCATTATTACAATCGCCAGAGACGATAGGAAATAGAGGAAAATTAACTGAAATTGTTTACAAATGAGAGTTAGTATTTCCTTTCATTTTCGGAAATAAAATAAAGAAAACTTTTTTGGAAAAAAAAAATAACGAAAGGAGTCTCAAAGTGGAAAAGAAGGTGGTTAAGGGGTAGGATTGTTGCCGTCCCTTTCTTAGTTCATGTGATACTGGTTAAAAAATGACCAATTTCCATCTTTTTAAAACTGTTGAACAGAAATATTATATTGAAAAAGAGCTTCCGTATATTTTCCAGGTGTAAAAGTAAACCTTCGATCGTAATAGTCAGCGGTTCTCGCCAAAAAATCAATATTGATATTGATTTGTCATTGATTTCCAGAAATAGAGTACAGGTAAGGGGCTGAATACTACAACCGAAAGTAAAATATTCAAGTGAGGTTTTATTTCATTTGAAAAAGATAAGTATTTTGTTAGGACGTTTAGAAATCCTGTACAGGTAGGTGGATTACATATTTGAAAAGATTTTAGCATAATAATTACAGAAGTACATTTAACGAAGAGTTTTTTTCACATCCTCAATGCCATTTTTCTTTAAATAATATTGTTTGTTATCTCCACATAATTCATGTATCCCCCTAAAAGCATTTCCAAATATTTACCCTATTAATCTGCGTGATTTTGCTGACTTTGTTAATTTATTAATTATTATACATTGAGTTGACGATGGATTTTTCCGTTATTTCTCGATCATATCAAGGTCAGCTGGGGATGCTCACTCCTCCATGGCATCTGATCTGATCTAATCTGATCCAATCTCTGATGATTCGGAGGGGGGCGTGTTTGCTCTGCTCCGATGAATACTGTTCGTTATCCCCTTATCCTTCTTTGTTAACTGTTGGTAATGTGCGTATTGTTTTTTTTTATCTAAGGATCTTTGAATACATAGATAACTAAGCTTAGGTATATTTATTCCATAATATTCTATATTTCTGTTAAATACACAAAAACTCAATGATCAAAGTAATGCGTAAGAAATCTCTCACCAGGTCGGAGATATTTACTTCATTGTGTCCTTAGAGATAATATCCAAAATAGCGCCGCTTGAAACATTTGTCAGTAACTTAAAACTCTCTAAATAATTAAGAAATTTACAATTAAATAGAGAATGTTTAATTGTGAAAAAATATTTTTCAGATATGTGCTCTTTAACGATTTTATAGAATATCATGATGTATCACATACCTCGCCTGTCAGAAGTTGTGTATATGTAGGACTATGTTATGGGGTAGGAAGTCCAACAGAAGTTAGGATGAGGAGAGAAGTTAATGGCACTACGGAGGCGGTGAATAAACCTGTATTCATCTTGAGAGGATTAGATCGGATGCAAAGTGGGAGTAGACGTGAGGGATTCAGACTGAAGACTTCAGAAGAAGATTGGATGTTCTGGCCTCCAGACCACAAGGTGATATGTGATCTCTCTCAGATCAGTTTCTATCGTATTCCACAGAACACTGTGATAATGATGGAGTGTGATGGATTACCACCGGGATTTACCAGACTTAACCTGATGAGTCAATCAAATGAGGTAAAAATAATTTCCTCCTGTGTAGTAATGAGTAACAATGTATACATTTCAAGTACCTTATTCAGAGATAATTATTTGCAACACTTAAGAACCTGCAATGTTCCTTTGACTACTGCTTTTCCCCATGGACCTTGTTCTACCTATTCTGTTTTCCAAGATGCAGAGACTGACTTTGCGTTCTGTTTTCTGTCACATCATTGGCCTACGTCAGCATTACCATGGATACAGAGATGTCGTCAACACGGTTGGCCAGATCAAAATCTTATATTAGATATATTAAACGGAGGATTTCATGTTGTTCCGATCGAAAGCACACCTGAAGACGAACTAGAATGGAGAATCTCATTTTCACGAGCTGAACAAAAACTCGTTTATTCAATGAATCATTGTCAATTTTTGTGTTATGGTCTGTTTAAGATTTTTCTGAAAGAAGTAATTTCTTGTCAGACTAATCCATCCATTCTTTGCTCATATTTCATAAAAACTATTGTGTTTTGGGTCATACAGACCAATACATCCTTGTCCTGGACACCTGAGAACTTATTGTCTTGTTTCTGGGAAAGCTTTAAACTACTGATTTACATGGTACATAGAGGTGAATGTCCAAACTTTTTTATTCCACAAAACAACATGTTCAGAGTTAAAATCACGGGCTCTGATCAAACCTCATTGTTTAGTCAGCTGTATGATTTGTATTGTAAAGGAATGTCATGTTTACTTTTAAGTAAAACAATCCGACCTCACCTCAGTATGGCTATATTTGACAAAACATTTAGAGGCTGTATAAACGAGAACTGTATTAAATCTACAACTGATTTGGATATAAGCTTATTTAGAGAATTATCTATATTTGGTCACGGAATTATGGATATTGAGGAATTTGCAGTTTACATGAAACAAACACAAAGTATGATTGGGAGAGAGCTTACGTCGTATGAGGCAGTATCTTTACAATGTATTACATCAGATGTACTACGAAATACTGCTATGTTCTTACAGAGTAGAATTAATCAAAATAGAACTCGGAATAAGGTTTTCTATAGAAGTAATAAAGGATTCAAATTGCTAAAACAGTCGTGTAAATTTGGATTTTTGTCTGACATTCTGTATCTTGCTATGTACTACCACAGAACACAAAGATATGAAGAGTCACTCAGTTGTTTACTTAAAGCAAAGGAGAAAATGTCATTGCCCTTTATTATGTATAACATCAATGTTAATGAAGATGTGTACAAACATGTCATGGAATGGAAACCCCTGGGAACTATAATGAGGAATGCGGTTGTGAAAGACATTCTGCTACATTTTTTATACACGTACATTGATGAACTCGTGTTGGAGCAGTTGATCAATAAAAGAAATGTCGTGCATTACTTGATAATACCTCCTCTAGTGATGTTACACATGTTGTTTATACTGAATCACCACAGACTGGGTGACACAGTAAGTTCACAACAATCTCTACAGGATCTTCAGACTCTGCTGATCTATGATGACGGGATTCATGTACTTCCTCTCCGCAGAGATATTTCGTGGCAAATATTGGGAATTTGTCAACAAATCTGTGGAGACTATTCGGGATCCCTCCAGTCTTATCAATGTTCCCTTCAACAAAAACCATTTCACAAGCTTCAGGAAGCAACATTGTTAAGAATAAACACTCTTCCAAATATTGCAATCTGACGTTTATTGAATAAGTGCATTTGTTTACATTTAAAAAGAAATATTGTAGAGCACTGTTTAATATAGATTATAGTTTTATGTTGTGTTCAATTGTTATACGTTTAAACCAATGCATGTTTTATAATCAAACTATGAATATTGCAAATATTCTTTTTAGATAATCATGTAATTCAGATTCTGACTTTTTTTATTTTTTTTATTTAATGATTATAAACAAAGTGTTAAAATTCACATCATATCATTAATCCTGTTCTGTAAAAAACATTCCTCCTTTTAAATGCATTTCTTTCGAATTAAGATATAAAGGGATTTTGAATTTTTTTTATTTGTTCTTCGTTGAAATACAAATGTACATGTCATGTTATAGAAATAAAATGCAAGTATGTACAATTCTGTACAGTTATTTTACTTGTCAAACTACATTTTCCCAATTATATGCGACTGTTTTCGTCCGGCTATGTTGGTGTCTGGCGTCAGTGGGCGGGCACTAATTAAAACGTGAGACCTTCTGTAATTAGAATATTGTAGTTATTTTAAAATTTATATTTCCAAATTTTATTTCAAAAGTAATATACAAAATAAGGAATCATTGTCTACTTTGTCAGGTATGCTAGGGACCATCAACGATAGTTAGAAACGAGGTGCTAGCTATGAACAATTGGCAAAGTCCCTATTGGAATTTGTTGCAAAGATACCAAACTCTTCGTAAAGAAGCTTAAAAGTGAATTGAAACAGTATAAGTCTAAAGCAGAGTGAATATGGATCACTAAGAAATGAGGTTTGTGATCAATTTCCAAGGTGAAGGAAGAAGAATTTACTTCCGAAAACCTTTAGCATATAATGCAGTGGTCAGAGCACTATAGTCATTTATTGAGATAAATAAAGTCAACATATTAATTAACCTAACTATAAATTCAATTCAATGTTGTTAATCTAAGGTCATCGATAAACTGAGTATCTGAATTTAGATTTTAAGTAAGAAAGACATGTTTGGATTTATAGAGGTTCTGACAAAAACGTCCATCCAGTATAAACCAGACGTATATCTGTTAAAACCTTTTTGATATTATACTCTACATTTTATACCTTTCTAAAATTTATGTTTACTAACTTATAATTAATCATTGAACTAGAGAAAAAGTAAAAATTTAACTGTGAATTAATTAAAAGAAATAAATTTTAGAAATTGAATTTTTTTTCTTGATATATGTAATTATGTGTAGGAAAGTGTACAATATATTGTAACATTACTTTCAGATAAAATATGAAGATAAGTTCAGTTATCACAACATGAAGACAATGTGTTGTCTTTCCCGATTTACGTTATCATCAACGTGTACTTCTGTAGAATAAAAAACAAACTTACATACCGACCCTTTTCAATGAGCCGGAGAGGCCAAAAACCCATTAGCTTAAAAATAACCTTTACGTTTTTTTTTTTTTTTTTTTTTTTTTTTTTTTTTTTTTTTTGTAGAATTCTTCTTATTGATACAGATATCAAACCCGGGCCTCCTGATTGCGATATGAACGCTTTTTTCTAGTAGACTATCGTGACAGAATTTATTTTGTTTTCAAAAGAATTGAATTACGCTTTAACTTATCTGCACCTTTTAATATGCTTGTTTGCAGTAAAATAAATGAATTTAAAGTTTGTTTTTTGATTTTTGTAAAATTGGCAGAAACTTGCATCTGTTATTAGACTTCAACGCTCACGGCTGATTAGAAATGACTCGGTGAACTTGTGAGGTTTTTCGGTTTCAATTTTAATTTAAATTTCATCTCAACACAAACGTCGTTGAAGTAGTCTTTCTGAATACAGGTAAGTTATATATATTTAATGCATGTTTACGTGGTTTTCCATTTTAAATTTTGGTTTCGCGGGCTTTTTAAGCAAAATGTTACCAGCCAAAACTAACAGGTTGTAGTAATATAAAAGGGAAAAATATAATATCTGAATGCGTAACAGGCACGTTTGTATACGACTCAATCTGTATAAAGTAATGTTTTCCCACTTTTTTGTTTACCGACACTTCCGAGAATGTTTGAATGATATTGAGACACTACTACTTAATAATAATAATAATAATAATACTTTATTTAGAGAAGGTAACCCGATTAGTGCGAACACTAGTCTTCCTCAGGGCCTTCTTTAAAAACACATATACATATATACAATAAATAAAATTACAATTATGAGACAATAAATAATCAATCAGTATGTTACAAACAAATAAAAACATCAGCATTTCAGTATAGAGAAAAAGAAAAAAAAATCACACAGAATCATTGCGTTTTATAAGTAGAAAATTTTCAACACTTCTTTTAAATATTGCAGGGGATTGAGAATTTCTTATATTAATTGGTAACTCATTCCAGATAATAACCCCTGAATATTGTAAAGAATTTTTAAATAAGTTTGTTTTATATTTTGGTAGTCGAAGTTCGGAATTTGTTTCTGATCGTAAAGTGTATGATCCAGAACTTTGAAATTCAAAAAGATTATGCATATAATCAGGAGACATTCCATGAAATATTTTGTACATTAAAATGCTTTTCTGTAAATATAAAAGTTCATAAACTGTTAGCCAACCTAAAGTGTTAAATAAAGGCATTGAAGGTGTATCATATTTTTCATTTAAAATAATCCTAGCTGCTTTTTTTTGTAATCTGTAGATTCTGTCCATGTGTGTTTGAGGACAATTGCCCCAAATGGATAGACAATATAAAATCGATGGCAGGATAAAAGCATTATAAAATAGTTTTCTAGTACGCATTGGAAGAAACTTTTTGATTTTTCGTAAAGTAAATAATTTATATGTAAGAGTTTTGCAAACTGCATCTACATGACAAGTATATTGAAGATTATGATCAATGTGAACACCTAATAATTTTTGCATTTCTACATTTTCAAGGGGATGATCGGAAAGTTGTAAATGAAAATTAACGTTTTCTAATTTAGATTTCTTTTGGTGTGTTCCCATTAACATACACTTTGTTTTATCAGTATTTATAATCATCTGATTTTGTTGACACCATTTTTGTATTTGACAGAGTTCATGATTAAGAGTTGTTTCAATACGCGAAATACTATTATCATGAAGATGCATTGTAGTGTCATCAGCAAACATATCAATATTACAATGTTCAACAGACAATGGTAAATCGTTAATATACAATAGAAACAACAAAGGACCTAAAATAGAGCCCTGAGGCACACCTGCTGTGACTGGCAGTGATTCAGATGTACGCACCAATTTTAACACTTTGAGTTCGATTATATAAGTATGATTTAAACCATTTAATTGATATTGGATCAAAGTGATAGCATTCAAGTTTTTTAATTAGTATATCATGATTAACAAGATCAAATGCTTTGCTAAAATCCAGATATGTAATACCTACAAAATTTCCTTTATCTATTGCGTGCAACCAATCATCAGTTAGTTTTGTGAGAGCTGTCTGGCATGAGTGAAGTTCTCGAAATCCAGATTGTGCTTTCATTAGCAAGTCAAAGTGAGAAGTAAAGATGCGTATATTTTCTGCTACATGCTTCTCTAAAACTTTCGATATCGTTGGTAAAATCGAGATTGGACGATAGTTTCCTGGGTCTGATTTATCGCCCTTTTTAAACAAGGGGGTTACTTTTGCGACCTTTAATTGTGAAGGAAAAGATCCATTGATTATGCTAGAATTTATCAAGTGTGTTAGAGGTTTGGATATTATACTAGCTGACAGTTTAAGCAATCTAGGTCCAAGAAAGTCTATACCAGCAGATTTGTTTACATCAAGTCTTTTTAACATTTCGAATACCTTTTCTTCATTAATCAAAGGGATTTCAAAAAAGTCTTGATCTCCAAGTTTTGTCTCCGTGTATCTTTTCAATTTTTCTGATCTGAAAGCAGTAAACGAAAGATTATCTATTAATTTTTTTGGAATTTGGGCAAAATGCTCATTAAATGCATTTGCAATATCTTGTAGATTATCAAGATCTAGACCGTTATATGTTATATTGGAAGGAGATGAGTTTTTGTCTGATTTTGAGGCCAACTGATTTAAGTTGCCCCACATTTCCTTTGAAGTAGAACTATTTTCAATTACTTCCTTATAATAAGTAGATTTTGCATTATTTATTAAAGATGTGACTTTGTTCCTCCAAAGTCTAAAATTTTCCATGTCTCCCTGTTTATGAAATTGATCTCGAAAATTCCTAGCATTATTTATTTCTGGAGTTAACCATTTAGTGCGGAATTCTGATTTCACACGCTTTGTTTTTACTTTTGCATGCTTATTGATTATAGCATTGAAAATATCATAAAAACCGTTTAAAATGTCATTGGGATCATGCAGTAGAATTAATTCATCAAAATTTGCATTGTTTAAATCATGCAAAAAGTTTGTTTCATTAAAATTTTTGAAGTCACGGTATTGTATTTCAATATGTTTGCCTTTTCTTTGCATGCTGTTAGATCTTCGTGTGGCACATATAGGATAATGATCAGATATCGCTACAGGGGGTACTGTTATTTCACATATGTTAGCAGGGTGCGTAGTGTAGAAATGGTCAATAAGAGTTTTAGAGCTATTAGTAATTCTTGTTGGGGTGTTAATTAATTGTGTTAAACCAAAGTCTACAATTGCAGATGACCAACTCCGCGGGGGTTCTTTAAGCATATCAATATTGAGATCACCTGCAATAATCACTTCCTGGTCGTCACAGCAGGTAGCGCACTGTAACTCTTGGACAAAATCATCTACCCAGCAGGAGGGGGCAGATGGTGGACGGTAAACTGAACAATAAAGTATAGGTTTAGAATTTTTAAGATTAATTTCAAGCCACATTGTCTCAATATTGCTTATTTCTAAATCCTTACGGCGTTTATATTTCAAATCATTTGAAATATAAGTAACAAGTCCACCACCAGCCTTTCCTACTCTGTCTTTTCTTTCCAAACAATATCCTTTTAAATTTATACTACAATCATTAATATTTTCATCAAGAAATGTTTCACATAAGGAAAATATATCAGTGTAAAGCTGTTCTTGTAAATACAAAACCAATTCATCTAATTTTGGCATAATGTGACACACATTCAAATTAATAAAATGTACGCCCTTTTTCATTAAACCAAGATTTGATTTACATATGTTTTGTTTTATTTCATTTGAGGTATCTGGTTTTGGAGAAGAATTTTTAGCATGTAGAAAGTCTGGAATACTCACTGAAGGTGAAAAATCCTTTTCCTTATTTGTACCAATAAATGATTGTGACAGTCCATTAAACGAGTTCAAAATTGATGTAAAAAGATTTGAATTTTCACTGAGATCCATCATTTCTTTATCATTTTAACTATTCACCTGACTAAAGATAAGAGCACTAAAAAACACGTCTTATCTCTTCGGCGTCTTATCAGTCTTGCTGTCGGGGAGTACACATTTTGACTTACACACAGCACTTGAGGTCATTGAGCAGTAAGTAAAGTTTTTTGTGCAAGCATAATTGTAGAAATTGTAGATTATTTTTTAGAAAACATTTTTTAAATTAATCTCCTTGTGAGTGTATTACTACTTATAATTTAACTAATTTACTTCACGAATTTCTTTACACACGGAAGTTAAAACGGACGCTCTTAAGAATTTCAATGGAAAATTGTATATTGCGTAACTTCATACTACAGATGAAAATATTTTTGAACTCGTATATCAATTGATTTATATATACGAGTAGGGGGAGCCCTGAAAACGAAACAAGTGTCTGTGTCCGGACTGACCTATAAAGTGACGTTATAAAAATCCCAGTCTTCATAGTTAAATGCACAAAATTTTTTTTCAGGTGTCTTGTCGGAGTAATACTTCAAGCTCTGATTCCTGCAGACTCAACTTTAATACATGTATTTAATGAGTAAGAAAATATGGACTTAATTATTTGCGTTTAAGACTCGGTCAACACCTTGAGCATATTTGATAATGGATTTATGGATCTATAACGTGGTTTTTCTGAGTACATTTTATCAAGGTAATTCTTTTTACATCTGTCTTTACTTTAATTTTTTGTTGGGTTAATGTAGATAATGCGTTAGAAAAATAATTGGAGGAAAGTTTAATTGTAATTATTCAATCAAATAAATTTTAAATAAATGCACAGATGACTGCCCAGACATTTTAAACCATATATTGATCGAGCAGTCGAGAGATTTAACTTATAATTTATGAATTACAAGTTTTAGACTGACATGTCTATGAAGTAAATTAACAAATGCATAAAACAAATCTTTATTAACCATTTTCAGTCAAAGGGGCCCAATATTTTCTGCATCATAATAAAATGAAGCGTATACACTGTTTTAAGCATTTTTGTCTTAAAAAAACAAAACAAAAAAATAACAGGTTGAAAAATTTAATTACAATTTCGTATAACTGATTTTCAAAACCAATTTCCAACTAATAGGTACGTAGATTCTCGATCTAAAATTGTGTTTTTGACGTTATGAGAACCTAAATGTATGAAAGAAAGGGAAAATAAGAATGTTAAAAAAGAAGAAAAAAGTTATTTATATGTGCTGTTAAAATTTAAAACATAGGAATTTTATGATTTTTCCAACATTTTTAATTTTTTGTATAAATCATTTGTTTCTTTAACATTATGTAGTACTTTATAAAAACATGAAAATTCATAAATTTTTGGGGTATACTTTATAATTATTTTCATTAAGAAAATTCAAAATGCTCTCTCAGTCATTTTCTTTAGTAAAATATCATTAAAAGTCATAATTGAGTACGTACGTTAGTGTGTAAGCGATATTGTTCTGTGCAAATTTTTAATGTTTTTTAACTAAGTGAGGGCACTGCTTTTTTCTGCTGATCATTAACTGATTATCAAGACACATGGCCAGTAGAAAAGTGAAAGCAGAGAAAGATGGGGGTTGTGTTATCTTTCAAGAAATGGTGCCATGTGTACAAAGTTTAGATTGAATTGTTTTAAGCATGCAGATGTATATTAGCATCAAACACCGGACAAATGGATTAAAATAAAAACCTGACCCTGCAAACAATTTCTCTTGAAGGCAATATTTGGGTAAGGCGATCAGTAAATGTAGCTATTTTATTTGGGTAAGGCGATAAGTAAATGTAGCGATTTTATTTGGTTAAGGCGATAAGTAAACGTAGCGATTTTATTTGGTAAGGCGATAAGTAAATGTAGCGATTTTAAAGTACATAAAGATATAATAACTTCCACCAAGGGAGGAATTAGTTGCAAAAAAATCAAAATTCCAGTTTTTCTAAATATCAAATATGTTGTAAAAAAAATCTACAGTGTATTATGGACTTTTTTTATTTTTTTGTATTCGGCAAGCTTCTCTCTCTTAAGTTTAGAATTTTTAAAATCCTATTCATGCTGTATATTCATCGCATTTTTGATTGTCTGACACGTACATATGTTATTAATTCCATAAATAATTTATACTATTATATTTAAATGCCATGACTTGCTACTCTTGAATGACACCTGGTAGACTCGTCTTTTATCCTTTGTTAATTGTGTAGTTTTAAAGCTGTCTTAGATAACCACACTATCAGTAAATCAGATATTGTCAGTAAATCAGATATTGTCGTCTTCTTCTGACCGGAATTTTTATTGGACAGAAAATATTTTTTCGTTTTGCAAATCTGTGACCCATTCACAATTTATTTCAGTGTGAGATTAACATATGATTGAGATGTCTTCCAATCTACATCAAATATCTAAGCTAGAAAAATTAATTCTATTACATAATATTGATATTTTAATTATCAAATAATGAATCTGTCATTGCATATGTAAGTATATCTAAATGAGGTGTATTTGGGAAGACAATCCTTTTTAAACATCAAGAAAAAATATAGAGTGGCGAAGTTTTAGTCTGAGTAGTAAGATTTTTTTTTTGTGAAAGAACCTCCTGCTTTGCATTAGATCAGTTTGATACAAATGTTTTCAATGAGGGCATATAGCACTGCCTGATTAATAATATGATTGAGAATGTGATGAATGGCCTTGATGTGCAGCGACTCTGAACGAGTCTGAATAAACTACATTTTGTAAAGTATACAAGATAGAAATGAGGGATGACATAGTTTTTTAATACATGATCCGATCAAGAGAGACCAGTAAACTAATTTTCAAGCCTCCATTATAACTGCTCTTCATTTCAATACATAACTTAATGTTATATGTGATGTACAGTATTACTCAGTGTTATATTTAAACTCTTCTACATATATATAAATATATAAATAGAAACTTATAAAAGCCTACTGATACAGTCAAGATATTTATAATAGAACTCCTCATTACTTTTGTATTAAAAGTTGTGGGAAAACATCATGCATCCACAACGGCGGATTATTGTGTCACATATTTGGATTTTTATACCAGGTATGAAGCATTATAGCTCATGTATACTTTAGTTAAAATACAATCTTTTTTTAAATATCATTTTGTTAAAAGTGCAATGATGTCTGATTAAAATCTGGTTGTTTTCAATAAAAAAATGAAAATCCTACTTTCGTGAATTAATGTAATGTCTGCATGTTTATCAAAAGGATCTCTCTCTCTCTCTCTCTCTTTTATGATCCTAGCGTGTATCTCTCGAGCTCTCTTTTTGAGGAAGAAAATAGTATCTCATGAATCACTTTTAAAAGAATAATATTTTTCTTACATTCTAGTTCAAGGTCCAATAATAAGATGTTCATGTTTTCCGGTCCTGATAATTTGAAAACTGTCGATAATCGTCAAGCAATTTTAACTTAATTGGGTCTCTCTCTCTCTCGAAACATTTAATGTGTTGGATAGATTACACGATCAGTACGTATACGTACTGGTTCCTGCCGACAAAGCAGGTAACAACATTGTCTTCGTTTGTAAGGCTCATTATATAAATTGCATTCTAGAAGAACTTGGATTTAATTCTACAAGTGGTAATTCAACTTATACTCATACTTCTCTTTCTTAGGAAGAAATTCTTCAAAATCACCTGTCAGTTTTGAATACTTTTAATATTCCACAGAGTCAAAATGAATTTGAACTACCTTATATATATTGGATTCCGAAACTTCATAAGAATCCTTACTAACAAAGATACATTGTAGGTTCCAGTAAATGTTCAACCAAGCCTCTTTCGTTACTTCTCACTAAAATATTGACAGAAGTGAAGGAAAAACTTCAAGAGTAATGTGCAACTATATACTCAAGAAGTGGTGTAAATCAGATGTGGATACTTAAAAATTCAAAAGAACTTTTGGACAATTTGAAATCACAAGACTTCATAAAAATCAACAACTTAAAAACTTACGACTTTTCAACTTTATACACAACGATTCCTCACGACAAATTAAAATCAAGGCTTTTTGATATCATTGACAGCTGCTTCTTCAACAAAAATGGAATTCGTAAATTTACTTACCTCGTCATTTGTCATTTGAAAAGTTATTTTGTTAAAACAGATTCTGATTGCACACATAAGTACTCTGAAGTTGACATCAAGAAGATGCTTGAGTTTCTGATTGACAATATCTATGTGGTTTTCGGAGACTAGGTATTCCAACAATCTATTGGAATTCCCCTGAGTACAAATTGCGCTCCGTTATTAGCAGACTTATTTTTAGATTCATATGAAGCAGAATTTATACAAAATCTTATGCATGAAAGGAAAAAATCTTATGCGTGAAAAAAAGAAAACACTTACTGTGGCCTTCAACTCGACATTTAGATATATCGACGACGTATTGTCAATTAATAATGATAATTTCCATTCCTTCGTCGATACGATATATCCTGGTGAGCTTGAGATAAAAGATATCACAGAGTCCGACACTTCTGCTTCATACTTGGATATTTTACTTGAAAAAACACTAATGGTAATCTAACAACCAAGCAATATGATAAAGGTGTTGACTTTAAGTTTTCTATTGTCAACTTCCCTTACTAATGCAGCAATATACCTTCATCACCTGCATACGGAGTATATTTATCTCAGTTGATTCGATACACAAGAGCGTGCTCTACGTATGAACAATTTCTTAAACGAGGTAAATTATTGACAAGCAAGTTGATGAAACAAGAATATCAACAGCCTCGTTTAAAGACATCATTTCGTAAATTCTATGGTCGATACAATGACCTTGTCAGCAAATAAAATTTATCATTGAGTCATATGCTGACTGACGTTTTTCATACCAATTGTTAGTTCATAATTTATACACTGAATTGACGACGGATTTTTTTCCGTTATTTCCTGATCATGACAACGAGCACACGGCGGGTGTGACCGGTTGGCAGGGGATGCTCACTCCTCCATGGCACCTGATCCCACCTCTGATGTTTCAGAGGTCCGTGTTTGCTCTGCTCTTATTTTGTATATTGTTTAATGGACGTTGAGATTGAATACCGTTCGTTATTTACATATCCTTCTTCTCTCAACTCTTATTTTTTCCCTTATGGATGTACAATACACAACTGACTCAATATTCTCGTTTAATTTTCAATATTTTATAATCGTATATTTAATACATTGCTATATCTACTTTATAAATGCACATGTTGGACAAAGTCGTTAGAGTGTTTTTTGACAGGAAATTCCCAAATTTATTCCCTCCCCTTTAGTTATTGACTAGGAGAGAAACTTTTCAATTTAAATCAATAGACTAAAATATTGATTTTCAAAAAAGCCAGGTAGGCTATAAATTTCAAATTGTATTGACATATTCTTTTAACCATTTAACACAAAAAAAGATATCTTTTTGATATACATATCATCAAAGAAATATTTAAAGACCTTTTATTTAACATATAAAACAAGAATTATCTAAGCCTTAAAAATTGTGTGATTTTCAATTTCAGTTTTTTGTGTGTGTGTGAAAAAACCTGTTTTTAAGTTAAATTTTGGTTTAAAAAAACTTTCTTAAGGTAGCTGGTACATGTAGTAAAAATAATCTTCATGAATTTTTTTTTGTATAATTTTTTTGTACGACCAGTTTTGATTTAATAGCCAAAAATTACCCCGTCCCTCTTTCTCCTTATAAATCATGTTCTCGCATCCCTTTCAGACTTGGGTCAGTGACAATATATGCTATGAATCTAAAAAGCACATTTAAAAAAAGGTCAAATTGGAATATTGATTTGCTTAAAAGGTATATTTACTTACATATATGAGAGTTTCAATATTTAAAGCGTATCAAAATGTAGATTTATAGGTACTTTTTGAATACCCCCTCCACCCACCACCCTTTCCTTTTTGCGTCGCTGCTAAGACGTTTACGTTTGACAAAACGTTGGTTACAGTGTAGATATATTTCGTCATATGAATCCCTGTGGTACACACTTGTTTGTTAATTCATGAATGCCGAATACATAATGACTTAGTAATGGTTTTTTATATATAAAAACTATTTGATAGTTGTTCCTCTTTGATCAGTAAGTTTCTGAGAAATACATCGATGTTGTAAAAAGTTTTTATTTGATTATTGGTGTTGTTTAAATTAAAGAAAAACTAACCAATATTTTTATCGCGAATGCACAAATTAGAATAAAGACAGTTACATGTACGTAGCCAATATTGTACATAACAAGAATTAAGGCAATGTAGGCCTAACTAAAATTTTCAGAAATCAATCCCCATATACCATTTTTCTTTTATAATTGATACATCGGGATTGTAGTATTCATCGCCATGATTCTTTATTACCAACGTTAAATTTGATGTCACGTCAAACGTTTAATTGAAATTGCAAGAGTTATCTCCCTTAGTATGTTGTACGTCTTCAGTTTCCTGTCATGTTTACTATACAGTGTATGTGCCTCTGACAGACTGCATATATTATATATAATGTATATATGTCATATTTGCACCCTACCTCATGCACCAATATATTGTTCTGGGTGAAGAAGAAAGATATGGAAATGACGAACAGTATTCAATCTCAACGTCCATTAAACAAATATAACAAAATAAGAGCAGAGCAAACACGGACCTCCGAAACATCAGAGATGGGATCAGGTGCCATGGAGGAGTGAGCATCCCCTGCCGACCGATCACACCCGCCGTGTGCTCGTTGTCATAATCGGGAAAAAAACGGAAAAAATCTGTGGTCAATTCAGTTTATAAATAATGGACTAACAATTGGTATGAAAAACGTCAGTCAGCATTTCATTCAATGATAAATTGTATTTGCTGACAAGGTCATTGTATCGACCATAGAATTTACGAAATGATGACTTTAAACGAGGCTGTTGATATTCTTGTTTCATCAACTTGCTTGTCAATAATTTACCTCGTTTAAGAAATTGTTCATACGTAGAGCATGCTCTTGCGTAACTGAACTTGAACTTGACACGCCAATAAAAATCCATACCCTGATTACATTTTTTTTCTCTTATTACACATCAACAATGATGTTTCCTACGATAAAATCATTACATGTAACATTAACGTAGTACACAGGGTTATTTTTGCCCCGAGTTATTTTCGCCCATTTGCAGTTGTGAACAATTTGGCCCAATTTAAATTCGCCCATTTTTAGTTCTGTCTAAGAAATTATGCTGTTTAATTGAATTTGCTACGTTTTGAATTCGCCCACAATTTCTATCACAGTAAATATTACCTTAAGTATTGGTATATGGTTTTTATCTATAACCATATCTTCAGTATGTCTTTATGTAATGGTTTTTAATGAAAATATAAAAATGTTGTTTTTTTTATTTTCAGTAATGTTGTCAAAAACTGAAGAAACAAAAGAATTCTGCCACAATGAAAGAAAAAACATTGTAACTGGCATTGATTGTGACGTCAGACATATTACGATTACTGCAGAGGGAGATCCTAATCATGTTGATCAATGCGATTGGAATCAAGGAAAAATGTTGTGTATTAATGGGAATTATGAGAATACCAATAAATCTCTTCGATTCAGTTTCACTTTTCATCTGAAACAACATTCGGGAAAACAGATGGTGATACATTCCAGGTGTAAAAATGGAAGCCATGTCAATAAAACTTATATTATGATACCATGTCGTAAGTCTTTCTCTATCCTTCGATCGATCGAATTAGTAAGAAAACGATTAATATGCGTTTTATTTTTTTCTTATTTATTTTGATTTCAATAGGTTCAGAATTCACGGTTTCTGCCACCCACAACAAAGAACACATAAATCTGACCTGTCAACATAAATTCTTCAATTTGTCATCAGACGGAATCCATATAAAGAGGAAGGAAAAAGATGATTTTATCGTCACCTGTACATGGAATAGAGGAATATCAGAGACACAGTGTCAAACAAAAGAACAAGGTAGGTCAGCGATTTTTTAAAATTTGTTTTCAGATCTTAAATACTTAAGATTAGATACAAGCGTAGTGGTAAGTGTCTGTTCTAGAGAAGCGATGTAAAGAGAGATGTGAGACGTACACCTGGAGAACGGTTCCTTGTGTGAGAGGTGGCGTCTCCATATGAGTGAAAGAAAAAAAATTATCATACTTTACATATTTATAAGCTTTAATATTAAAATAGAAAAGGGATTAAAATTCATTGAAGACTTGACCTGGAATTGGAAGACTATAACCTTTTTTATATTTAAATAAACAAGAGGCCCAAGGGCCTTGCCTCGCTCTTCTGATAAATTATACAATCTATCCTAAGACCCAAGAAGCATCAACTGACAAAGTTTGATGATTCTTAGCCAGGTAGGGCTGAAGATATTTAAATGTACTATAAAATACTATAAGTAGGTCATGGAGACCTACTTTTTGATTGAAACTTTCTGAGGACAACATTCTCCAAAAACCTAAGGTGCATAAACTGACAAAGTTTGACAATTCTAAGCCAATGAGTACCCTAGAATACTTAAACATAGTCACAAGTAGGTCACCGTGACCTATATTTTGATCATCATTCTCCCAGAACTCAAGATGCCTCAAATAACAAAATTTGATGATTTTAAACCAATAAATACCCGAAATACCTAAATATAGCCATAAAATGACAAAAGTAGGTCACTGTGACCTACTTTTTGACATAGTAATTGGTCGACATCCTTCAAAAACCCAAGATGCATCTATTGACAAAGTTATTTTGATGATTCTAAGCCAATCAGTACCTGAGATATTCAAAAGTGAGTCACCATGACCTACTTTTTGGTCAACATGCTCTGAAAACCTAAGATGCATCATATGGTAAAATTTGATGATTCTAAACTAATTAGTACCTGAGATACATAGAACTAGCCATGAAATATCAAAATAGGTCACTGTTTCCTACTATTTGGTCTACATGCTCCGAAAACCCAAGATGCATCGAATTACAAAGTTTTTTTTTATTCTAAGCCAATAAGTACCTGACATACTAAAATATAGCCATAAAATATCAAAAGTAGGTCACCGTAAACTACTTTTTGGTCGTTAATCTCCGAAAACCCAAGCTACATCAACTGACAAATTTTAATGATTTTAGGCCAATTAGTACCTGAGATACTAAAATCTAGCCATAAAATGTCAAAAATAGGTCACAGTGACCTACTTTATGGTCGACATTTTCTGAAGACCAAAGATGCATCAACTGACAAAATTTGATGATCATAGGTCTAAAAGTATTCAAAAAATGTCTTTTAAACAATTTGAAATCAAATGCCTGCAAAGTTCAAAAAGTAGGTCACAGTGACCAACTTTTTGATAAATATGTTTTAAGGCCTCTAGATGCATCAACTTACAAGATTTGGTGATTCTAATTCTCTCGGTGTCTGAAATAATCTTAGAAAAGATTAGCCATAAAATTCAAAAAGTAGGTCACTGTGACCTACGGTTGTATCAACATGATTGTCATGTTCTGAGATGCATCAACTTCCAAGATCTGATGATCTTAGTCTCTATAGTAAGCAAAATATCAACGTTGTTATAAGTGAAAATTTTGGTCAATTTGAAGTGACCTTGAGACCACGCCCTTTGTCCCAGGGTCATGCCTTGAACAATTTGTAATCTTCAACATATCCCGACCCTTGTATGTAAGTTTTGGGAAAATCTGCCTGGTGGTTCTGGAGAAGAAGATTTTTTATCAACCAGTACTTTTGGTTATATTTTCGTGATTATCTCCCCTTGTTTTAGGGTCCCACCCCTAATTTTAGTAGAAATGGTAGCCCTTGGACCAAGGATACTCTGTGACAAATTTGACAATAATTTGCTCAGGGGTTCTTGAGTAATGGCCCATATTCTGAAAGGGTAACGCACACCGCATGATGCAAACCGCACAAATGGCCATAGCATTAGCTCTTTGAGCCTTTGGCTCAGAAGAGCTAAAAATATGCATATATTTAAACAATAAAATGCTTTCTTTGTTTGTTGTTACTGGAATGAACGGAAGCAGCTGTTGCAGAAAAAATACATAACCCGCGTAAGCGGGTTATGTAAATTTTTTCTGCAATAGCTGCGACCGTTCATTCCAGTAACAACAAACAAAGAAAGCATTTTATTGTTTATATTTATATCTGTTTAAATAATCAATTAAAGTAGGATTAAAAAGAATAATTATCGTATTAATGATGCGAACGTCTTTATACGTTTCATTGATGGAACAGCCACTGATTAAGAAATCTGTACAGGCGACCTGCCTACTGTAGTTTATGCAGTGATGAAAGCAATGGGGTTTCTTAAGAAATAAAGGAGAAAATATTCAGTGGATGTAAATATTAGATCATACTCAGTTTAAATATGTAAAAAATGAAAAATCTATGAAACAGATGTGTTATCTGGTTCTCTTTAGGACACGCTCACAAAAATGGAATAGCCGGTTATACAGCAGAGTATCCTGGAGAGTACCAGTGTGTGATGGGTGGACAGATCATTGATATACCGTCCAGAGAGGTCTCCACATCCACAGAGGTCCCCACATCTCAAGGTACGACCATGATTCTTAAGTTTTAGAATAATTGGCATGCCCAACAAACCAGACATTGATTTCGTAAAAGAATACAAACAACATTGTTAACATCTTGTCATTTACCTTTGACCTACACTAAAAACAATCTTTGCCTTGATTTTTTACGAGTTGGCGCTATGGCGCCTATATCATTAGTTACCTAGGCTCAATCAATCGTGTTCTATACACGGGTGTTTGAAATATAACCAGGGATTCATTATTTTACAACCTTGATTGGACCTGCATAACGAATTTATTTGCTATGTAACCACAAAACTTCTTTTTAGATTCCAGTCTAATCAATTGTGTCTCAGCCTATCGATCAGAAATACTATGTTTTACAATGGATCGTGACTCTTGCATTAATTAATACATGTAGGTACTTCATGTTAGTAGCAATGTTTTTGATCTCTTGACCTTGTACCTGCATAAGAGAAACTTGTACCTTTGCAATAAGCTGTAAAATGGGGGCATCAGTGTTTCACAGCTAGGCACATATATTTTTATTGTTACTTTTTATCTAATGTTGCTACCCATTTTCACAATTCTTCATTTATCATCTTTGTTTTGCTTGATAGGGATTACAACACAGGAACCAAGCAACTTGAACAAGACAAGAAACGCATCACGTGGTACAAGTAGCGGGTGTAGGAGCCAGTCTTTTACCCAAATGGACTTTCTGATACCACTGTTTATTATGTATTGTACCTATAGTGTACAATATTTCAGTGAATGTGGATATTTTCTTTTACCAAGTTGAAAAACAACATGATTCCCACACCTTTTGATGTTCATGCAAGGAACATCCTCTTCGTTATAGAAGGCCCTTATCAACTATCAGCTATGTGATAAGAATATCGGTGTTTTTTGTTTGATGAAGATAGTGTTCTCGGTGAAACTTAACACGTTTCTATCGATGTAAAATAACCATTCCCGGAACAAAGTTCTTTTTTTAGCGATTGAAAAATGCGTTTAATCCAAATTCTCCTATCCTTTCTACTATTATGAGGGTCACGCTGCATTGCAATCGTGTCCAATTGACAGAGAATGCTCAAAACTAAGTGGAAAATGATCTCTATTTTGATGTTTTTGTTCTCCATTTAAACCCAGCTGTTGATTTGTTTGATGTTTGTTATTTTAATTTTTAATTTGCACTGGGGTTCATTGCAATATGAAATGCATTTTTCATTTTCTAGTTAAATTCATGCAAGACCGTTAATTTTCGATAACAAAATGAATATGACAAAAGTTGTTTCCCCCATTGTAATTGAAAAACAAACTAAAGAGCTTTTATTTGTTAGTGCTCACATAATGGTGTAACTATACTTTTTTAAACGAACATTTTGAGGACAGACTCAAAAGATATTCAAGATAAAGCTTAAAGTTCTTGTTTGTATGAATGGTGTATTAAGCTATGATAGAATGATATGTTTTTTTTAAAATAATTATTTTAAAAACAAAATCATTGTTATTCTTTACCCGTTTGCTTCTAGATTTACATGTACGTTTTCAATTATGGCCTGCACGAGAAGAAACTCTGTCATTCATTTATCACAATAGTTGACTGATAAGCCAATAAAGGATTGAGCTGTGCCATTTAGTGACATTTCAAGAATTGACCAAGGCTATTTAGTGAAGCATTATATGGTATATTTAAGTCCTGTGTTAAATACACTATCGATACTTGTACAATCAGGAAAACTGTCTAATACGACATCTGTGTTATCCGACACACTGTAAATTCTGAAGTAGAATTATTTAAGAAATAAAGTCCGCGTTTTCGTGAATGTTGCAGAATAACCTCCGAGGTCGAGAAATGTTGTTTGAAAGATAAAAGCCGAGGCGTTAACATTTCGGGACCGAGGAGGTTATTCTGCATCATTCACGTCAACAAGGACTTTATTTCTATTCTATTAAGGGCGATAAATACGACTGATTGTTTCCTCTATAGAGAAACGAATTAGGTCACCATGTCTCGATTACGCTGTTCTATTTAACACCAGAGAGAAATTTTGTTGACTTACCTATATATGGAATGCAGACGATTTGAGCTTTCCTTGCATTAAAAATAGTCTTTTTAAATTACAAATTTGTTCGTTATATGTATTGATCAGTTAAAACAAGAAATCTGTGAGCCAATGCTCACAAGTAATACCCCCGCTCTGATGTAAATAAGCACTATCATGTTAATACACACAAGTTCAATTACAGGCAGATGCACATAAAAATATGAAGTTGACATCAGATTCATATCAAAATTAATCCCACCATATGACATGCCTAAACAAAGAGTGTAATAAAATTTGAAGCATCTGCGACGAAAATTTGTTATTTATGAAACAGACAGACGCACAGACAAACAGGAATTTGATATCCAATTTAAAAAAAATGCATCTCAACATATGGCATGCCTTAGAGATGTTGTGTTAAAATTTCAAGCATCTACAATGAGTAGTTGCAGAGAAAACTGCAAATAAAATTTGTTATGTATGAAACAGACAGATGCACAGACAAACAGGAAGTTGACATCGCATTTGAACGAAAATGTTTTCCACCATATGGCATGTCTCAGAGAATATTGTGTTAAAATTTCAAGCATCTAAGATGAGTAGTTGCTGAGAAAACTGTGACGAAAATTTGTAATGTATGAAACGGACAGACACACAGACAAACAGGAAGTTGACATTGGATTTAAGCGAAAATGTATCCCACCATATGGCATGTCTCAGAGAATATTGTGTTAAAATTTCAAGCATCTACGATGAGTGGTTGCTGAGAAAACTGCGACAAAAATTTGTGATGTATGAAACGGACAGACGCATAGGCAAACAGGAAGTTGAAATCGGATTTAAGCGAAAATGTATCCCACCATATGGCATACCACAGAGAATATTGTGTTAAAATTTCAAGCATCTACGATGAGTAGTTGCCGAAAAAACTGCGACGAAAATTTGTTTCGGACGGACACACAGACAGACAGACGGACAGACAGACGGACGGACAGACGGACAGACACACAAGGGTAAAACAGTATACCCCCCTCTCCTTCGGAGCGGGGGTATAATGAATATACAAGAACAAAATCATGTTCTTGTTTTACTGCTAAAATCACGTTGTTAAATGTGTAGGGAGGTCCGTGGAATAGCCCCGCTCAGCTATAAAAACCGACATTTATCAGCAACTTGATGCAATTTACAATGTTTTTACTGCAAAAGACGACACATCGATGCGGTCTAAACAAGTATTTCATTCTACAGCCAAATATGCATTTGCATTGTTCAGATTTGATACGTGATTCTGATCTGATATTTTTTTGATGACGTTCGTGATTAATTGGAGAATAATGTCCGGCGGCTTCCTTTGAAGTTTTCAATAACCGTGGTAGAAGTCCAATTAATCTTCATATTTTTCTACAATGTGCAACCCGATACCCTGTCTAATCCAACACAAAATTGGCCTCCCAGTGTATGTCTGATTAGATAGAATTCTCTGTACCGATGTACATAGAAAAAACTCAATGTTTTATAATGTCAAGCCGGAAGGTAAGAAATGAACCCTCATACAAGATAACCTTGAGAATGTGATGGATGAAGGACACTTTTACAGAATAGTCAGGCTTAGTTTTCCAGTGTAAAAAAGGCACTCAGCAATTTGGTTGATTAACTAGTGCTTTACGCTATCTAGGCATTTTTTGGCACTTACTAAAAAGTTATTTTAGATAACTAAATTTTACCATGTTATATGATTAACTGTAAAGATGAAGTTGAAGAAATTTCCTGGATAAAAACACATACTTTGAGAATTCAGGGACATTCTTGAGAGCATTATCAATTGATGCCTTACTTTATGAACCTGAGGATGAGAGTACCTAAAGACTAAGGTGACGGAAGGCGTTTGTACGATCAAGATACCAGTTAATCACTTCTCAAATAGCATTGAGTGCCTAGCATCAGTCTAAATTAAAGCCATTTGAACACCGTTTTGTGTCTTGTGTCTATATATGAATCATAAATTCTAGAAGGGGACAAACTTACGTTTCTTTAGATTAAATTAAAATTTAACTCTGTGACCGCCCACTGGTACGTCTTCATATAAATAAAATCAATATGGAGTCGATAAAAAAAATCTGGTTGTGTTTTAAATTTTTGACATCTTTAACTTGCTATTGATTTATATTATATAAAGTACAAAGTCCTATCTTTACATAAAGAAATAAAACAGATAGGACGACTTTCAAATTTTTGTTTAATGTGCTTACATAGGGCTTTAGGTTTCCAGAATGATACTACTATTTTGAAATATTGAGAAAGCTCTTTGCGGGCTAGGTAAGCCTTAAAGATAAAGAATTGACGTTCCACAGATATCAACAGGGTATTCAGGATTTCATTAAATTAATAGTCACTGTGTACGAAAATTTAATTAGACTGCAATATCGATCCAAATATTTAAGTTTACCTTTGACATTTTACAAAAATGTTTAAGTGTAGTTGCAACTAGCAATGTGATCATTTCACGGAATTTAAAAAAAGATATACTGACCCCACTGGAACCCAAGAACGACTTTTCACCATAAAGTATTGCCTTATAAGGAAATTTCTGTAGATCGTGATTCATTCTAAAATAGTTTGTGTCATGGAAATGAGATTTTTTAAACGTTTACGGAATTTCCGCTACACTACCAAGAATTATGATTTGCTAACATAGATTTTATTGAAACATTTATTATTTTCTTTGTAGATCCAAGAAAAGGCTTAAATGCCTCGGTTTGTTAAATTTTAATTTATATTGAATGTTATATGAATACCTATTTGTTGCTTCATTCCTTCACTTCTGCATGCATGTAATAAGAATTTTTACCTGCATGACTCACAAATTTGACCAGCATGTATTAACTATCCCCCTTTAGAATGTTATTGTAGAATATACCCTAACAAACAAATACCATTGTTAATCAAAGCGTCACAGTGTTCAATACAGTAAATCAAAGTTTTCAATGTTTTCACTAAAGTGTCAAAATGTTAACTGCAGTTAGTCAAAGTTTTCACTAAAGTGTCAATGTTATCACCATCGTTAATAAAAGTTTTTCAATAGTAAGTTAGTTTCCATAGTGATCACCGTTGTAAATCAAAGTTTTTTTTATAGTTATCACTATATGAAATCAAAGTGGTAAAGTGTTCACTATAGTGTCTAAGTGTTCACTATAATTAACTATTGTAAACTAAAGTTAAAATAGTATTTTTTGTTAAGGTAATGACAAAAGTAAAGGAAAATATCTTTAATATGACCAAGATTTATCATTAAAGGATAAAAAAAATGTATGACAATGGGAAATATCATTATAAAGTAGTGTTTTAGAATAAAAGTTATAATTCTTTTTCCTTATCTTAAAAACAATCCCGAAAAATGGTATCGATGCATCATGAAGCTTTAAGCCATTTATTAGTACTCATGCGTTTGACAGAGCAAAGGAGCTGATAAAAACTGATGGCTTCGTGGTTCTAAAGGGAAATCCCAGAACTGGAAAAACAACGATAGCCAAATATTTATTGAAGCAACTAACGGAGGACGGAAAAAATCCTTTTCAATTTAATAAATTCACAGACTTGTACGGAAGCATTTCACCCGGAAATAATATTATAGATTATATTGGTAATGTGTTTGGGGAATGGTCTTGATTGATCTATCACATAACACATAAGCATTGCGAGAAAAAGAAATTCTTAAGACGTCAAAACAAAAAAAATTATGTAAATTCATAAAGGATAATGACTTATCAAGGTTGATAAAATGCCTATATCAATAGGATTTTCACAGTGTTGTAATCTAGCCATAAGCAATGAAGCCATTAAACAGAGTATATATGAGTTTCCTTTCGAACGTATGAATTTTTTGAGTGACTACTTTCAAAAACTCCTGAAAAAAAATCAGACTGCAAAAGTTGCTGTACTGGTATATCTTCTCCTTTGTGGGAGTAAATTGGAATTGAAAGTAATCGATAAACCTCACGTAGACGTAGAGACGAAGGGTGTTGCTCTAAAAATTGTGGGTCTAAAGGCGTCTTGCCTGAATGATTTCCAGGATAGTATTGATTGTTATGATGGGTTTGTTGATCATTCGAGATTCGATAGAAAATATCTGTAGGTTTTCCCATAGCTCAGTACAAGAGTCTCTTTTTACTGCTCTGTTTAATTTGGATCCTAAACGAATGATACAGGAATGTCACCATTCCTTCCTTCAAAAATTGTCAATAAGTGAAAATCAAACAGAAACACAAGTTTTAATTGGGAAAGTTTTATTTGATGATGTTGCATCTCGAATTGCTAATATCATTTCAAAAAGTATTGTTACTGAATGCGAGTCGATATCTTTGTTTGCGTTATGGAAGTTTCACACTTTAATGAACACGAACGGAGATTCAATGACGGT